TATATAGTCCTGCTTTAGTCCTGCTTAAATCCTCGTTTAGTCCTGGTTTCATGCGGGTTTAATCCTGGTTAATAGTCCTGCTTTTAGTCCTGTTGAAGTCCTGGTTTAGTCTTGGTTTAGTCCTGTTTAGTCCTAGTTTAGTCCTGATTTAGTCCTGGTTTAGTCCTGGTTTAGTCCTGGTTTAGTCCTGGTTTAGTCCTGTTTTAGTCCTGGTTTAGTCCTGTTTAGTCCTGGTTTAGTCCTGATTTAGTCCTGATTTAGTCCTGTTTAGTCCTGGTTTAGTCCTGGTTTAGTCCTGGTTTAGTCCTGGTTTAGTCCTGGTTTAGTCCTGGTTTTAGTCCTGGTTTAGTCCTGGTTTAGTCCTGGTTTAGTCTTGGTTTAGTCCTGGTTTATTCCTGGTTTAGTCCTGGTTTAGTCCTGGTTTAGTCCTGGTTTAGTCCTGGTTTAGTCCTGTTTAGTCCTGGTTTAGTCCTGGTTTAGTTCCTAGTTTTAGTCCTGGTTTAGTCCTTTTAGTTTAGTCCTGGTTTATTCCTAGTTTAGTCCTGGTTTAGTCCTGGTTTAGTCCTGGTTTAGTCCTGGTTTAGTCCTGGTTTAGTCCTGGTTTAGTCCTTTGGTTTAGTCCTGTTTAGTCCTGGTTTATTCCTGTTTAGTCCTGGTTTAGTCTTGGTTTAGTCCTGGTTTAGTCCTGGTTTAGTCCTGGTTTATTCCTTTTAGTCTGTTTAGTCCTGGTTTAGTCCTGGTTTAGTCTTGGTTTAGTCCTGGTTTATTCCTAGTTTAGTCCTGGTTTAGTCCTGGTTTAGTCCTGGTTTAGTCCTTCTTCCCTCTGTGACTCCAGAACCGACCAAATCTTTACGCCACAGATGTTATTGCTTTATTCGTCTGGAATGTTCCGCAGTGTGTCTTTAAACCGCTCCTTCTCCGCAGAGGTCAGATCTGTGGAGAGGCGACGCCGCTCACACGCACAATGTCACAGAGTCCGTTTTTTTTTCTCCGCATTTTTTGACTCTAAAACCTGCACCTGTGATTGAACAAACGTAAAGTGGAGCTGTTTAAAGTCACACTGCGGGACATTTAGACGGAAAAGGAGCCGGTTTGTTTTGGCGGAACATATGCAGCGTTTTTGTTTTTCATATTCAGAGCGAGTGAGGGAGCGAGCGGAGGAGACGGAGCAGGTGGGCGATCGATGGTTTAAACGTGTGGGAGCAGACTGCGGAGGAGAGAGAGAGAGGGACGGGGGGGGGGGGGGGGGGGTAAAGTGCCGCATTACATCTTTAAAAAAAAAAAAAAAAAAAACGGCGTCACATTCAGACGCTGACGCTGATCGAGACTGAAACGCGACCGGAGCTGTGATTAAAACTCCACAACCCTGACGAAAAGGGGACTCCTGTGAGATTTAAGGACTAAACCAGGTCTAAATCAGGACTAAAACCAGGACTAAAACCAGGTCTAAATCAGGTCTAAAATAAGACTAAACCAGGACTAAAACCAGGACTAAACAAGAACAAAAATCAGGACTATATCAGAAATAAAACCAGGACTAAACCGGGATTAAACCAGAACCAAAACAAGGATTAAAGCGAAAACTAAACCAGGAAAAAAATCTGGACAAAAACTAGGACTAAAACAGGATTTAACCAGGGCTAAAACCAGGACTAAACTAGAACTAAAACAAGGACTAAACCAGCACTAAACCAGGACTAAACCAGGACTAAACCAGGACTAAAACCAGGACTAAATTAGGTCTAAACCAGGTTTAAAACCAGGTCTAAACCAGGTCTAAAGCAGGACATATCCAGGACTAAAACCAGAAAAAACCAGGATTAAACCACGACTAAACAAGAACTAAAACCAGGACTAAAGTGAGGACTAAACCAGGTCTTACCCAGGTTTAAACCTGGACTAAAACAACAGGATTTAACCAGGTCTAAACCAATTTAAAACCAGGGCTAAACCAGGTCTAAACCAGGACTAAACCAGGACTAAAACCATTATTAAACTAGATCTAAACCAGGACTAAACCAGGTCTAAACCAGAACTAAAACAAGGACTGAACCAGGACTAAACCAGGACTAAAGTGAGGACTAAACCAGGTCTTACCCACGTTTAAACCTGGACTAAAACAACAGGTTTTAACCAGGACTAAACCAATTTAAAATCAGGGCTAAACCAGGTCTAAACCAGGACTAAACCAGGTCTAATCCAGGTCTAAACCAGGACTAAACCAGGACTAAAACCAGGACTAAAATTAGGACTATAACCAGGACTGAACCAGGTTTAAAACCAGGTCTAAACCAAGACTAAACCAGGACTAAAATGAAGACTAAAACCAAGACAAAAACAGTATTAATTCCTAGATCTAAACCAGGTCTAAACCAGGACTAAACCAGGTCTAAACCAAGACTAAACCAGGTCTAAACCAAGACTAAAACCAGGACTAAACCAACGTCTTCCTGGTTAGAGTCAAGTCTGATTTTATTCCACAGACTGAGAAAGTGTCGACTGAGGCTCGAGCTCGTTCTGCTTTTACCCTTTATTCCTTTTTCATGGCA